ATGATCTTTTTATCTGAAAAGTCTGCCAATTCATGTATTCTTTAACTTCGATAGGTAAAATGGGGTTTGGACCTGCAAAGCGAGCATGAAAGATACATCACTGAAATTGCTTTTGGTGGCCGCCCAGTGATAATTAGAGATTATCCCAAGGTGCGTCTCAAATCGGGCCTCTCATGTCTGCATGTCAAGATGAAATTTGACAACTAATCTCCTTTTTCCCCCTTTACCTTCATCCTTTAGGAAATTAAAGCATTTTATATGCGTCAAAATGATGATGGGAAGACAGTTGCTGCTATGGATCTGCTGGTTCCCAGGGTAAGACATTCTATAGCTGATGTTCCATGTACTTGAGCTTGAGATCCAGGTTCATCTTTTTGATATTGTAAGAGCATGAAATTACTGACAAATCCTCTGAGTAATGCATGAAACTGCACATATGCCTTTATAAAAGAGTCAATTTGATATCCTTTAGCGCATGCATATACAGTTGATACAATTTAGAATGCCACTTTAAATTCCAAGGATAACAGACAAATTTGATATTGATGTTATATAATAAAGGTGCACTGAGCATTAAAAATTATAAGGAAGTTAGCTCAATTTACTTTAGAACTTATATCGACTTGCAACATTTAAGGGAGGTAAAGCCAATATAGTCTTGTTAAGCCCAAGTCAAGGATTTCATATGCCAGCTGCACTGAACTGTCTTAGTTGGTGCATATCCTGTAGGCATGATTTGATAAATAACTCGCTTGCTCTCTCCTTTCCTTTCTCCTATCATCATGGTGCCAGTTAACCTTGCCTCACTATTGGCCACTATTGTGCCATCATCTGCTAGGACAGCATGACTAGCTTTGTTGTCAATTCACTCATTAATCCTTTTATAACTTTTCCCCTCACCCCCAAAAATGACAATCTCCTCTGCTGATACATGCCCTGTAGGCATGAATCATTTAAGAACGTTCCTTGCCCACTCTTTCTATTCCTCCTTTCATCATGGCTCCAATTAACCATGCCACGCTACTGGTTATTTTGACATCACCTGCTGGTGCAGCATCACAACCTATCTTGTCGATCCGCTTATGTCCATCCTTCTTCAAGAGTCTTTTCTGCATCTATCTAAAACTGGTTCCTGAGTGGATTGGTATTAGTACACATGTTATGTACTGGCCTTTTTCTGATCAGTACAAGCCAGCGAAAGTGCCAAGGGTGTATTAATACTCCTTTGACACTTAGTGGTACAAGTATGATCAGCGTAATCAGTATGACTTAGCATGATAATTTAAGCTGAGTTTTGGTCTGAAATATCATATCATTGTGCAGTAAACTTGTTTATGCTTTATACGTGCACCTTGATCATCCACTTATAGTGTCGATGTGATTTTTTACCACTTATCTATTGCTCTTCACATGTTATATATAATGCAACCTGCTGATGATGTTACTTTCAAGTGTGAAGATGGGAATTTCTTTTGATGCACAATTATGCCACGTGTATTAAGAACATATAAAGCCTATTGTGATCCTCATATGCAAAATAATTAACTCTCAAGTCCATAAGATTTGCTTCAGAAGGTCTCAAAATCTTCTATTCTTTGCAATTTCATATTTTTTTCAAGAGTTCTTAATATGACAAGACTTACATGTACCCCATGTGTAATTTGCTACTCTGTTGTGAAAAGTTTAGGTTCTCTGCTTGCACTTCTCATATAATTTCATAGAATTCAATGTATGAAGATATATGTTTCAAAAAGGAGGGTCATGTCTCTGTTGTGAACTTTTTGCTAATCTGTGTTTGTCAATGTGACTCGGTGACCAATGAGGTATCAATAGATTAGATATCTGAAGAATTCTTGGAAGCTTCATAATTTATTAAAATAAACATTAAATAGAAGTGGCATTTTCGACATCACCATAGTTTTTGTTTTGGCGTAGTGTTATACGATATCAAAAAGGCTGATCATCAAAGATCAGACACGAACATTGGCGAGCTGGACACCAGCTTTGATACTGTTAGACCAAAAGGTGTGCTACATATATGCTATACCATGCTAAAATAAAGGCACATAAATATATCATATGTAGATCTACAGCCTGTGGCTTTATACATCATTCAATTTGCATGTTGCCTACACTTTTGCACTACGTAACTGTGAGATGCTTTAATTTCATGTATGTTTGTTCTTTATAGAAATCATGAAGGTGATGGATTTCAGTGAAGTCTGTATTTATCCTATCTATCAGGTCGGTGAGCTTATTGGTGGAAGTCAAAGAGAAGAACGCCTTGATTATCTTGAAAGCCGCTTGGATGAGTTAAAGCTTAGCAAGGATAGCTACTGGTGGTATCTTGATCTTCGACGTTTTGGGTCAGGTTGGGAAACTCTTGCTTGTATATTAAACTACTGTTGGTTTCTGTATTCAATCATCTGCTTTCCCTTAAAAGTAAATTCTCTCTCCAGCTACAGGTAATAAACTATGACAGTCAGCGAAAGCTTCCTTGTATTGTGCATCAAAGCTTTGCTTTGAGAACAAAATAGTCTCCTGCTCAATTGCCTATGTTTTCTTCTAGACACCAACAGCTCTTCCCATATAACTGTAGCAAGAGGGCATACGAAGAATAAATGGTTGGTTATTTGATGCAAAAGGCACTTTGAACTTTGCAGTCGACACTTCTCCACCAACGTACCTTAAGTAAAATATTTCCTCTTGATTACTAGGCACAAAACAAGATCAAGTCTGGGAAATCTTTTCTTGAACCACACTGACTTGTACAAATCAACTTTAGGAATTCCTTCCTGTTCTGGTTCCATGCATAAACAGTAAAAACTTGATTGGTATCGGGAATGCAAAACCCCATGTTGTTGTTCGTAAAAGGCATCCATCTGATTTCGTTCCAAATACTCTGTTTCTAGGTTAATAGCTGGAGGCAAATGCCAGTTACTGGTCACAGTAATATCAGCTACTCTGTTAGTGTCATTGAGATTGTTCACTTAGGTAGCTTCAATTTATGATATAACAGGACCTTTTATCAACAAATTATTACACCAGAAAGAAGGTTTTTTCCATTTCCTATCTGATCGACAAACAATTTTGAAGCTCTTAGTTTTAACACATTACTTCACTCCTAACCACTATCAAATGTTGGGTTAATGCTCCCTATACATCTATTTCTAAGCTGAAGATTATGTATCAGTTTATGTGCTAGCATATGACATTATGTGTCATGGAGGTGACAACCATTTTTAAGTTTTATGCTTTATAGTATTTATAACGTGGATGGCCAATAAATCTATTAAGTTAGATGAATTATTATCCCTATCTTTGTTACAGTTTGATCAACTTGATATTAATTTGGTTTGAACCTCTAACTCATCAGATGATATACCTTATAATGCATCCCACCACCCCTATGTAACAAACTCCTAGCCATTGCAAACCGTTGAGAATCCGTATATGTGAAACTCACCTTTTTTGTTTGAATTTTAATTATGACATCCGTTTGAAAGTTTATTCAGTTTTTAACAGATAGAGTTAATAATTCTTGCTTTCCCCTTCTTGTTTCAGTTCCACATGCTGGATTTGGTCTGGGATTTGAGAGGCTCGTGCAGTTTGCAACTGGGATTGAGAACATAAGGGATGCCATTCCTTTCCCACGCTCGCCTGGCTCTGCAGACTTTTAATGAACCGTGAGTAGTGCCTATTAATATTATCCCTTCTAACCCTTATCGAAATTTAGCAGATAGCAGCCATACAATTTAGCAGATAACTCACGTTACAGGCCATATATCTATCATTCATTACCGAAATGAAAGGAGATTCCAAGTTTGCAGCAATGGGACTGAAAGCTTGTTGCCGTGATTTCGGTTGAGAAAGGGAGGGTCAGTGGACTTCAATGTTTCTAATAAAGAGCAATAGTTCTTCTACCCTTTATGCTTTACCTTGTGACCGGAGGCAGCGATAGGGCGCACATGCAACCCGCTCCATTTGGTGCAGTCAATCACAATGGGAAAGTCTTAAACAGATAAGAAAGTATTTTTTGTATTGATGAACAGGACTTCCATTTCCTTCCTTTTAAGATGTAATATTTATCAGAGGATAACTGTAAATTGTCATTCCAAATAGTCAAAGAACAAACCTATATCTGTATTTGTATCTTCATGTTTCTTGAGCCAAAACTTGTCAAATTGCTGGTCTGCCTCTCAGGAAGCACCCTCATTATGTCAGGCTGTCTAAATCTTGTTGCAAGCGCATGCCAAGTGCCTTTTTGTGTCTGTTTACAGGCTCTTTACAGCCTCATGAGACAATGTTGTTCTCTCATTTTCCTTACAAATCTACAGTAGATGGGTGTCAGCTGGACAGGCCGCTCGACATCCACAAGAAGCATACAAAGAAAAGTAAGCTTCGTGAATGCCTTTCTATCCAATTATGGCTTATTCATCGGTGCCAACTGTGGCTCCGCTGATGGGTACCAATCTCATGGCAGGTAAGCAGTAACTTGGAACTAAAGAGATCTCGATGTCGTACATCGCATCACAGCCGTCCAGTGCAGATCGGACGAACCATCCGCCAGACCTCCTGAAGCAATCGAGGGTTCCAGGAGCGAGAGCCAGTCAATACGCCCTACACACCTGCATGCAATTAAAGGTCCACCATCATTGGACGTGCCACTGTTGTCCTCCATTGTCTCGATGGATCAGAGACAGTACCTACCCCTGAATAATTAGGCACAAGGCTTGAGGTAAAAGAACAGATCACTCCTGCGAAGCACCCCATGAGTTGAACGCCGATCGATTCAAATGTTTGACCTTGCTTGCTGATGTTAATGTGGTGCCAACATGACAGGGCGACACCACTTCGACAGTGGTAACACTGCTCACTTACCTAATCATGTGGAAAACGAGGATGTGCCCGTCAAGTACGTCACCGGTGCGGCGCAAAGGGCCGAAGGAAGAGGAGACGTGGCAACCTCAGCTCAGCTCGGCTGGAGAGATGAAGGTAAAGAAGGAGCTTTGCAAGCGGCGAGTCGAAAGGCAGGAAGAATCATTCAGCAAGAAGAACTGGAAACTAAGCAGCAGTAAATTAACATGTTTATTCTAGAGTAAGAGGAAGTCATAGGTTAACAAAATGAATCACGAAATCATTATTTCTACATTAAAAAAAAGTTGATTTTGTTTCCTCTAAAATTCATATGTAACCTCGAACTAACTATAACTATTTGCTTCATGTACAGCTCCGGAGTTGGGATGCATGAAGAATGAAATCTCAGCTCGCTGTGTGGTTGACGATGAACTCTGTGTCCGAAGCAGCAGACAGAGCCACATCGTCATCCGCCGGCGCAGGCAAGTTGAGATCAATTACTCCGAGAGCACGGTTGAATTTGGCGTGATCGCTTGTGGTAGTCATGGTGGTGGCGGCGGAGGATGTTAAGTGTGATCGCTTGTGGCCGCCGAGAGCCTGGCCGGAGGCGAAGACTCTGAGGCAGAAGGGGCACTCGAAGACCTTGGCGTCCGCATCGGCCTCGAAGTCGTCGTCGCCGTCGGTCCGCTGTCCGACGGCCGGCATACAGCTCTTCGGCTTGTGGTTGTGGCGGCTCGCCCGGTGGCCGCCTAGCGCTTGGTACGACCGGAACACTTTCTTGCACTTCCCGCACTGGAACCTGCTTCGCCTCCTCCGCGGCGGCCGCGAACGGGAGGTGATCCGACGGACATTTCCCTCCTCCACATCGCCGCTGATCCAGGAGTCGCGTGAGAGCATCATGAGGCAGAGTGCGACGTCCTCCTCCGTCGTGACATCCGATGCCGAGCTCGCCGGCTCCGGACGCGAGTAAGCGTGGCGGGCTCGCTTGGATCGGCAACGGTGATTGGCGTCGGTCTCGCTCTCGCCGTCCTCGACGACAGCGTAGGTGGACCCGACGGCGGCGAAGGCGGAGGAAGACTCCGGGTCCTCGAGGCGGGACCTCTTCCGACCCTTCACCCTGAGGCCACAGGAAGCTTGTTCGGTAAGCTTACCCTCCTCATCCCCCTCCGCCACCGCGTGGCCGGCGGGGCAGTGATGGCCATGGAGCTTGGGCGGAGGGGTGGCAGAGCTTACGTGAGAGCGCATGTGGCCGCCGAGAGCGCGACCGCTGGGGAAGCGGCGGAAGCATATGCGACACTTGTGCTTCTCCATACGAAGCAAACAAAAGAGCAACCAAACCAAGAGAAGCAGGAGGAAAAGATGAGTGCGGAAGGAGTAGGAAGAGACGTCTTTGGAAGCGTGAAAGCTTTTCTTATCTTAATATTAAGTAGGCGACAAGCATTCCTCCACCAAAAGATTACACAGCTCCACATGAACCAGAGAGAAGAATTATGGGAAGCATTTAGAGAGAGAGAGAGAGAGAGAGAGAGAGAGAGAGACAAAGGCAAAGGGTTAAGTAAGAGGCTGTTTCTCTAATTAAAGCAGGGCAGAGGGAATATATAAGCGTTTCGGAAAGGCTTATTCCTAAACTCATGCATCTTTATACCCTCCCTCATGTGTTTGGTACTCAACTCAGGTGCTTGAGGTCTTCATCCCAACTGATGTCTACAGCTGATAACAGTAGAAAAGGTGGGGGAATCATATGAAGAGCACAACACAGACCTCATTTCCCCATACAAAAGAAGTCATACACCGAAGGAAAGAGGCCAAATGCAATGCCAGTGGTGTGTGTGGTAGGGGAGGGCTTTGAAGTGATCACAAGTGAAAGAATCTGTCACACACACAATAAGGAGGTTCTTCAGCACCTTTCCTTAGTCCTTAGAATCCTGCCCCTCCTACGGACTACTACATCGATATCGCTCGACAATTGCATCAGTGTCGATGCAGATGTAGAGTGTAAATATCCGTGTAGTTTTCTCATCTCTTGTCATCGTTCTTTCAATTCATCTACAATAGTCACATACGCTCCCGACGACGACGGTATCATCCATTATCTTCTTGCTCATCAATTTTATATTTTCATCGATAAAATCGATAATATTATGATAAATAAAAATAAATATTTTAAATTTATAGAGATTTCAATATAAAATTTTTAAGTTTAAGAATCAAAATATTAAAAAAAATTAAATATAATTACCACTGATTGATAAGTAAGAATTTTAGTTTCGCCCAACATCATATGTGGATGCCGAGTGAAACAGAGTAAAAGATCAATTAACCAAATTGTTATAATGGTAATGATGAGAGGTACGATGTTGAAGAAGGTCAATACTCTTTCCGTAACATTAAAGATTGAAGAAATTAAAAAAAAATGGTAAGGATATTCTTACAAAAAACATATACCCTCTTTAATTTTAAGATCGATTCGATCCGTCTTTACTTATCTTAAAATCATTCATGTATTTTTGTGCTCTTCTTCTGCTGCAGTCTCCGAAGAAGAATGGATTATCTAAGAAAACAAGCAAACAATTAGCTAATTGCAGCTTTGCTATGTCACATACACAGCACAATTCATCCACTCATCGTTCTTACATACAAAGGCCTCTGCAAACAGACCGCCGAACCGCGCCACCCACGCCACCGCGACCGACGAGCGTATGAGGACGGGGCATATGAGGGTGGGAAAAGTCCCACCATGGGCCGTGGTTCGAAAGCCGATGGCCCAGACAAGTAAAGCCCGCATGCGGGGAACGAAGAAATACACGATAGACTATTCTAGGGTTGATCGAGAGGGCTTTCTCTTCTCTTCCACCCGGCAGCCGGAAAGGTGCTGTTCTTGCCCCCCTCCTCCTCCTCCCGCTCTCCGAAGAATCGAAGCAACAAATATGGACTCCTGCGGCGACGACGATGATGGGTAAGCTGGTTACCCTCTCGATCCGTTTCTTTCGTTTGATTAGTGTCGTTTCTTTTCACAATTGAAGACTTTATCCCCAAGAGAATCGAAGGTTTATTTCCCGAGTTTGTATTAGATATGTTTTTCTGTGATCGTCAGGCTGTGTCAAGAGGGTAATAAAGGCACGGATCCCTTGCTGGATCTGTGCCTTTATTGGAAGGTTGCTGATTGACTTTTACTGTAAAATGTCGTCCTTGTTCTTGGATTTTTACCGTGCTAAAGTGATTTCATAATTTACTGATTTGTCGACTTCACCTAAGCAGGACATGCGAAGCGATACTTCCTGGTCTGCCTGATGATTTGGCCTTGAGGTGTTTGGCAAAGATCTCGCATGGATATCATGGATTGCTAGAATGTGTGTCAAAGAAATGGAAACGAGCGATCAGGAGCATGGATTATGCTCATATAAAGGCCAGGGAAGGGTGGTGTGGGGATTGGCTGTTTGTTTTGGGAGCCGACAGCCCAGCTCTGTGGCATGCTTATGATCCTGATGCAGATCGTTGGCACCCTTTGCCAAGAATGCCAGGATTCACTGATGATGATGAACTATGCAGGTTTTCATGTGTAAGTGTGAGCAACAAGTTCCTAGTGATTGGTGGCTGCCACATATCACATTCAGAAAAGAGGTGCTGGGAGACGAGATCGGTGATGGTGTTCGATCCGTTCAAGAAGCAGTGGAACGCCGCGGCTAACATGCAAACAGCACGAACTGATTTTGCATGTGCTGTTATCTCTGACAAGGTTTATGTAGCTGGTGGAAGCAACTCTAGTAGTTCTGAAGGGCTTGCTACTGCTGAAGTTTATGATCCTGATGCAGATAAGTAAGGTTCTTATGGATATCTTGTTAAGAATATGATTTTTTATGTCTCAATGGTGAAAAAAAGATCCATGTAGCTTACCTAAAATGGTTTGAACATTACGACTTTGTTGACGTTGGTTTCTTGTATAGGGATCACACGTAACAAATAACTATAAACATTTTCAGGTGGAAAGATTTACCATCAATGCCTTTCCCCCTGATCGAGTGCTTCAGCATATCCCATGGAGGCCAATTTCATGTTGTCGGCAAGAGAATCTGCAATTTTCAGCATGATACTTATGTTACCTTCAATCCATCAGATCAAAAGTGGCATGTTATGGAAGATTTGCTGCCAGTTTGTAAATTGACACATGACACTACAACCATTATTGAAAGTGACATCTACAGCATACTTCCAGATGGCACTGTTACCATGGTGATGCCCGATCAAAAGGATTGGCACGCTTTGGGTGTATATCCTGCAGTGGTTCTACCAGACCACGATAGACCATTGAGTCCATTCGGGTTTGGTTTTATCGCATTTGGGAGGTGCATATATGTTGTTGGAGGTATGGTTCTCAAGTATAACACAAGCAATCATACGTATGCATATGTGAAGCTAGATGCAACTAAATTCTGTGATCCAAGAACTTCACCACTAGAATGGCAGGATGCTAAACCTATGCCAGTACAAGCTTGTCGTATTTTAGGATGTGCTTCAATGGAGGAATAGAGTTCATCCTGCTTTGTATTGTATCCATTTTTGTAAGATGTTACAAAAAGAAAGATCTGACTGGAGACCTCAATGGCTTCCAGCATGATATGATGTTTATTCAGAGAAGTGGTACGACCAATTACCTTACAAGCTTTGTATTGTATCCATCTTATAAAATGATGTTACAAAAAGAAAGATGTTAGGATTGTTCAGAGAAATAGCAAGACCAATTACCTTCTAATCTTTGAATTCTTTGTTATTAAATGGCTTATGCCTTGCTAGTTGGATTGGGAATGACATGCTGATTCATGGTTTTCCATCCCGATCTATGTTTCCTTATGATTCCACAAAGGTGGATATCATCTCAGGGTCAATGGTTCTGCATAAAGCTTATCTCTTTGGGTTTCAAGAAAGCAGGTGAGCGTTTTTTTTTCTCTTTTTTGTAACTTGGGCTTTTGATGTTGTAGCTTTGGATGCAATTTTTTATTAGCAGATCATTATTTATAAGATGATGACAATTATTGCTGCAGTTTCGGGTAGTTTGTTTTAAGAACTTTAATTTTGGAAAATATCAGTTCTCAAATATTTCCGTCATGTTATCAGGGATGGCACCATCTGCCTATGGTGGATGCCGACCGTGAAGGATGTTTGTGATTCTATAGTTGATGCTCCCAGAACTGGACTTAGCAACTTGGTGGCTAGCCTTGCCTTGGGCAGCATTTGTTCAAAACCGATGTCCAGGTATCTTTCCTCATGCATGTGTTTACAAGATATTGCAGCAAAAAAAATAGAAAAATACTATAGGATTTATAACATGAACTGTTCTTTTCAGAGTCATTGTTTACATAATGTTTAACCCTGTTAATTCTTGTACCCTCCAGTGTTCTCCCGGTCTTCTGCTCACCATTTATCTTACCGTAGAAGAACTACTAGGAATTCATTCTGAGAGAGCTAACAGAGTACCGCTGAAGAGGACAAAGGCAAAGGAAAGAGAACGGAAACAAACAAAGAAAGCCTGTTAAACACAAAGAATAGGAGTAAGAAAGAAGTCTGCCAAAGTATACAGTTAAATGTGCTCCTTAATTACGCCGAACATATAGTTCAGGCTTTTCTCTCTGCTGCAAATGCACAACTATTGGCATGGTATCGCTGTTCATAATTAAGTTGATTGAATTGTATCACTTGCCAGCTTGACTTGAAAGGCACAATCAAACAGCAACTCCCAACAACAGGACATGAGTCCTGCCGAAACACATGTTATGTCTGTATGTTGTGTGCTTGTCAGTTCATCAACCACTAAGGAATGTTGACAATAAGCCTAGTGAACTCTACAATCTATCTACTTGCAGGTCATTACCAACACTGTTTCCAACAATCCGAAGAGAACTACACAGAGCTCCTATGGCCGATGGCACAGAAAGGAGAAACCGACAGTGCTATCAGATTGTAGAGGTAAGGCGGAGGAGAAGCTGTAGAAAGCTCCTTTGGTATGCAGGAGCAGTGACCAGTAAGCCATGCATGGATGATGGCTGCAATCATTCCAATTTGAAACAAAGAGCAAGTAACATGTACCTCAAAAAGGTTTCTGGCCCACTTTGAAAGGGGAAGCTTAATTGATTTGTATATCTACCTGCTTGTCGGCAGAGGATTATTTAGATGCCCCCTCAATTAATTAAATGCTTAAGGCTTCATCTTCTTGCCTTTATCATCAGGAAAAAACAAGTCATGCAGAAAACCTGATTTCTGGAGTGTGCCTAATTATTCTTCCACAACCATTCTCTCCATGAGGATTGATATGTAAGAGTTGCATGTAGGAAACATTGATTGGCAGATTGTAATTATTTGATTAATCTTTTATCAGATCTTTTCGGGTATACATTACTACTGGAAGCTTTTTGAAAGGAAATGATTCCTTCAATTATTAGTGAGTATTTTTGGCAGTGTGTCATGGCAACCATCCAATTGCTTGATTAATCCTTTTATCAGAATTCTCATGCATACATTAATCTAGGAAGCTTTTCGAAAGGAAATTATTTCTTCAGTTCTAGTAAATATTTCATGTAATGATCTCATTAGGTCATTTTGTAGAACCTTAACAGTCTTAGCATAACCTGATGCCAATAGTCCCCACTGAAACCCAAGGGACCAAAATGTACAGGAATCAGTGGCAACTCGAAAAGCAATATGTGAAGAGAAGCAATGCAGTAGGCTTTCCTTCTAATGTCCCACACAAACAGAAGCTTTATTCCTTGTCCACTTGCCTGATGGGTCTCCTTTCCCTGCAAGCAATACTGCCTGTGGTGGTCTTTAGTTCCTTCTTCCCACCCCTGTAATCTCCACTATCAGCTAATGTTCTTTCTACCAGATTGCTAATGTGCTACAAACAGCTAACATTAATTGCGTGGCACACGAAAGCAGATCGATCGCAAGCCATTCGCAGCTTGCTTCTCTTTGGATTTTAACTGAACTAGCCGACACTGAGATGAAGGAATCCCGTATAGCACAAATCTACTCACCACGTAACTCCAAAGTAGTAGTTAAAAGAGTACGCTGCTTTCACTTCTACTGCTCGAGCAGTAATGAGATTAATAGCATTCTCCTCTCTTAGTTAAACCACACGCCTCCGCGTATTTGGTGTCAGTCTGATGCTTTTGTCCTCTATATATCACTGTTGGGCTGTGCTCGGTTGTCTCTTTAGCTGCTCTCTTAGATCTGCCTCCCAGTCTATCTTCCTCTTTCTTCTCCCGTGAGGAAAGAGGAAGGAGAGGTGGTGGAGGTTCCCCATGAGTCTTCTGTGGGTTGCTGGTTTCCTTCTGTGGGTGAGATGGGCTCATGGGACTGAGTACTGGAATACGAGTGAAGTGGCCTTTGCGAACAATGGAGGTGGAGGCAGCAGTCCTCTGCTTGTGGGTCTGACTCTCATACAGTCGGCTGCGGCTAAGCATGCTGGTAATACTCATGTTTTGCCTCCTCTCATCTGTTTCTTGGTTTTATCTGATCTGTGCACGCTGTATGGCTTTTAGCATTTAGCATCTCAGTTCAAGGTTGAAATTTAACAGGTTTCCATTAGGGTTTGTGATCTTCCTCTTGTGCTATTGTTTATGGAGTGATAACTGTTCTCCCCCATCATTATGTGTGGCATATTTGACTGGGGTTATAGTTTATGTACAAGTCTAAAGATCCATGTTGTTGAGCCTTCAAAATCATTTTGCTGATAACGTCTTTCCATTGGCACTCATGGCAATACTTTTATGAGGTCATATAATGATTGCCATTACAGTAGTGTCATCCTTCTCTTTTATGCTTCCTATTTTTTCTGTATGCTTAGTGGTTGGCCACTTTACTGTAAGGATGACTTTCAATTTTGTTGCCATTTTTTTTTTAATATGAATCATTTTTTCTGGAGTCTGATTAAAAGAAAGCACGGAGACATGATGGTACACAAAGCGAAAGCTCTGGTTTTATGTCCAAAAACTATATGGATTCTTTCAATTTTCCTTAGTATTCCATGTTTGTCATCCATTGAAGCCTCTTTCTGACCATAAATAGTTCATCTTCGCCCCCTGATATACTAGGATATCTTTTCATCATATGAAACTCCTGTTTTCGTAGTCTGAGGGTTAACTCTAATTAATTACAATTAATATAAATTATTGTACTGATCCAAATCCATTATATTTGAGTAATGACTGGGTGATACTTGAAAACACTCATATGAAATTTGTAACTTGACTCAGATAACAGGAAAGCAAAACGAAATAGTAGTCATATTATACTGTCATATGTCTATTCATCTTTATTTTATGAAAGGAACCTTTGGAATTTGATGCAAGTTGGTTTTCCTTAAACATATACACATCTCATGTATTTTGTTTATCTTTTGATTTGTTTTACTAAGATTCATGCATACTAATAAGCTATTTGGAAGAAACTGGTCAGTTTATGAAAATTTGTTCTTGCCGAATCCAGTGTGTTTGGATGGGAGCTTACCCGGCTACCACTTACATCGTGGCTATGGATCCGGAGCAAATAGCTGGATCGTCAATCTAGAGGTGACTTGCTAAATCTACAGATTGCATAATCTTAACTCTGGTTTTGATTCAGAAAATCTGGTCTTGCATCATAATATTGGAAATCATTGAAACTAATTTTTTCCAGAACTAACACATTCAATATGGTCTCTGCAACATCACATTTTTGTCTGATGTTGCTACTGATGAGCTTCAAACTGAATGCAACTCAGGGAGGAGGCTGGTGCAATGACATCAAATCATGTGCTTTCCGAAAGACAGGTCACCATGGTTCATCTTACTACATGGAGAAACAGATACAATTTTCTGGAATACTCAGCAACAAGCCTGAAGAAAATCCTGGTTTGCCTCGAACTGGCACCCCTATTCACAATAACTTCTATAGTATATGCACCAGAATGACTTGCTATGTTTCGTTAACATACTAAATTCCACTATTTGCAGACTTCTATAACTGGAACAGAGTCAAGATTCGCTACTGTGATGGTGGATCATTTTTGGGTGAAAGTTATAACGAGGTTGGTTTAATGGCTCTTCCATTAGGTCACAGGTCTTACACAGAAAATAATAACATAAAATTGTGATTTCAATGCCACAAATCATCAGCTCATTATGCCTGCTAATGTTATATTAGGATAGCTAGTTGTGCCACCAGTGTGTGAATTCTGTTGTTGCTCAGATATGTTAATTAGTTTATATAGTTTTTGCTAATGAATATGAAGTTTCTGTTTGATACATTCAGTGTTTCAGTTGTAAGTTAAGTGAAAATTGTGTTCCACAATGAAATTATGCTGGAAAAATTGATTACTCCTAGTTATGGAATATTATAGGTAGAACAAAACTTATTCAGTCTTTTGTTTCATTTCTTTTGAGAAGTGCATTTATTCTTGCAACAATAACAATTACAAACTTCATTACAGGCTTATAGCATAGTTAAATTGTTTAGGCTGCAGGCCTTTATTTTAGAGGACAGCGTATTTGGCTAGCTGCTATGGAAGAACTACTGTCAAATGGAATGCGCGATGCCAGTCAGGTAGTCATTTCCTGTCCATCTAGGTTTCCCATGCCGATAATTTACATGCTCTATATATTTCCAGGCCCTTCTTTCTGGATGTTCTGCGGGTGGTCTATCAACCATATTCCACTGTGATAATTTCCGAGCATTATTTTCAAGTAGTACCAACGTCAAGTGCTTTGCTGATGCTGGCTTGTTCCTTGATTCGTAAGGCTTCATGCTCCATCAACTTGATAAAAATGACCTAAACGACTATACAGTCATATATAAATAAACTTGTTTTTGTTTTGTACATATAGCTTCAAATTATTATTGATTTTTATTATAAGTTACATATGATTTCTTCACAAATCATAGTGTCGATGTCGCTGGTGGGCACACCATGAGATCCTTCTTCGGAGATGTAGTAAGTTTGCAGGTAATGATCACTTCCTATGCATTTTGATGCATGAAGATTGTGCTTAAAAGATTGTCATTTTCTCAGTCACTTGACGCTTCTAATCAAGTATCTCTAAATTTCATACCATTGTTCTTATGATAAAATCTGTCACCTCAAGGGTGCCGGGAGGTACTTGCCCAGGACTTGTACAGCACGCATGGATGCAACATCGGTAATGTTACTTTTGTCACAGAGGTGTATGACGGAGAATAACAGTCCTGATTACCGATGCTTAAGCTTTCTTGATTTTCCGGTGCAGTGCTTCTTCCCACAGAATGTGGTCGGCAATATTCAGACTCCACTTTTTCTGTTGAACACAGCATATGATGTATGGCAGGTATATTCATAATTTTGTGGAATTTTTAGATTGTTTCCATTGATCACACATCAACGACCTATGTTAGTGTGCATAGATCTATGACAATCCATAGATGGTGAGAGCTTCATAGAGAGTGAAGCTACTGGTTCTTTTCTGTGACAATTTGTGTTTATTGGATTTTCAGTTACAGCAAAGCTTAGCCCCCAAAACAGCTGATCCACAGGGGTATTGGAAAGAATGTAAAATGAACCATGCAAATTGCAATTCATATCAACTCCAGTTTTTGCAAGGTTTTCTCTCCCATCTGCACTTTCGCTTGATACTAGATGCATCAGTTTCGGTGAATTAATTACATGCATATGGATCTTCGTATTATGCAGGGTTCAGAGATCAAATGCTTAATGCAGTTAAAGAGTTCTCCAGTTCTGGTAAAAATGGGTTATATATAAATTCATGTTTCGCGCATTGCCAAAGTGAGAGACAGGACACATGGTATGCAAGTAATTCCCCACTTATTGGGAATAAGGTATGGTTCATCATATTGCTCTCAATCAATTTATGCCCAAATACTTTGTAAGCTACTTACATGCTATGATTTTAGAAGTTTTAATGGATCTCTATTTATGGGTATAAACTGTATCTATCAACTGAAGTGTTAATCTACCTAGATACAACTTTTGGTTTAGGTCGTAAAACATTGGATGAATAAGAACAAAGGCTTGAAGCCATCTGTACTTCTCCAGGAGGATCAACTATTAAGATGGATGCCCTTAAACCACAGTTTTTTTTTTCATTTCAACCCTTCTCTTATCTGTCTATATATTCATCTCTTGTCATCGGTCTACTATGCAATATGAAAAAATGATAGTGGATGAAAACTGGTTGACAATCAAGAAAGAAATAAGTACAAGGTTCATAGGATTCAAATCATATGTTGTACTAATTTTAAGCCGACTTTGCCACATGGATGTTTATGTTTCCCTGTTTATCGCCTTCAGATGCTAAGATGTGCTCCATACATACTTCTGATTTGGAATTTATCTTTTCGACTTGTTTTTCTTTGAACATTTTATTCATTGAG